CATAAATACTCCACCCACTCTCAAGCCTACCCAGAGCACAGTTTGCTGTCCTCTGAAGATGCCGGCCACAGAGACTGGCGAAACGTTAGGAAGAACCACTTTCAGAACACGGCCAAGAAGCCCGAAAAACCCACAACAACCATTTTATACAGTTGATCTATCTCCAATAGATCTTTATGTACTTGATCTATCTCCATTAAATCTTCCTGGCTATTTTAAATTAATTTTGCTGGTTTTATCCCTTTATCTTCCCTTAGCACAGCTAAGGTTCTCCTCAGCTTTAGGACTGGAGTTAAATATCCTGCCTTTTCCCCTCTACTTCTCTCCAGCCCTTCTTTTGGCTGGCATATATCATCCTCCACCCTCACATTTCCTTGTTCATAATTCTCTGTATCCTGTGGAATAAAGTCCTTCTTTAGTTGCGCATTGAATGCTTTCACATCTTCATTATGGGATCTTACTATTTCTAAGATTGCTTGAAGGGTAGATTTTGTTTCATCCCAAAATTTTCCTTGTAGTAGTTTTGTGTCCCAAGATGCCAAGTATTTATATTCCAAGTAAAATACGTCTAGTAGCTTAAAGCAATCAGTGTAGTTCCACCAATGATTGGTTCAATAAATCACTCTGACGTAAGTTGGCAGCCTTGTTCATTCGATGCTTGTATTAGACTTTCCAGAGTTAATTGTCTATGTTTTGGTCAGTTCTCAGGAAAAAAAATGGAGAGTCAAAACAAGAGTTCAAAGTTTGAGTATTCAAGGTCATGCTCTGGGCGTTTTGCCAACTCTGTAGATAGTCAAAACAATTTAAAACTCCCAGCATCATTAGGCTAAAATAGTTTAAAGAGGAGAATTTCTTAATTTTAACTTCAAAATACTACTGAACTTCCTTCCTTGAAGTACAGTGGTGCCTCGCTTAACAGGCGCCCCGTTTAATGACGAATCCGCATAGCGATGTGGATCTTGCAATCGCAAAAGTGATCGCATTAAGATGTTCCCTATGGGCTCCCCTGCGCTCCTTCCCAGCTGGCCGAAAAGGCCGGTGGGCACTTTGGAAGGACCGCGGGGGAGCCCTCCCATCACTCCTTCCCAAGTGCTCGCTGGTCAGCTGGCCGAAAAAGCTGGTGGGCGCTTCGGAAGGAGTGCGGGGGAGCCCTCCCCCACGCTCCTTCCCAAGCGCCCGCCACTCAGCTGGGCGAAAATGCCGGCTAGGGCTTTGCGAGGACCGCGGGGGAGCCCTCCCCCGTGGTCCTCCCAAAGGCCCCATTTTCACACAGCTTATCGGCGGTTCCAAAATGGCTGCCCACAACGTTTTCGCACCAATTTCTCACTTACCGAGGCGGCGAAAATGGCGGCCCTGTGGAGGATTCCTGCTTAGCGGTGAGTTTACCCCCCCATAGGAACGCATTAAACAGAGTTTAATGCTTTCCTATGGGGTTTTTCTTTCCGTATAGCGATGTTTCCGGATAGCAACGTTTTTCCTGGAACAGATTAACGTCACTATGCAGGGCACCATTGTATAATTGTTTAGTTAATGTCCAATTTATTTTCTTTGCATCTCTTGCATCTCTTTCCCCTTCTCCAAATCCACTGCTGTTCAGTTTAGTGGTTGGGCAAAAATACACTTTTTTATGTTTAAAGGGATTATTATTCCATCCAGGAATGGTGATAGAACAATACAATTTAGATTTTATATCTCACCCAGTGGTAACAACATTGTTAAGTTGGCTGATTTATCGCTTCTTCTTTTGCCAGCTTCTGGCGACTTGCAAGCAAGCTGTTTCAGCTGCTTGTTTCCGCCCGCTGGTTGTTTGGGGAGTTTCCTGGGTAAAACGTAGGTAACTGCTGTCCCTCTCGTGATCAAGAGGCTTCTCCCATTTCACCACTTGTTCGGCATGGTTTTAACCCCCTGGGGTGTCCCAAACAGGTCGGAGGTCAGCCCAGGGGAAGGAGCTCAGTCGTCCTGCTGCTGTCTCATTGCAGTGTCAAGCCGGAAGTCTACACTTTCAGGTTTTTTATGCACATGTGCAAAACTCCCTCAGAAATTTATGGAGCCTAAAAAGTCTGTTAGATTGGTCCCACCCTATGATGAATCCTCAGTTTCCTTTCAGCTACCTCTGAGGAAACATCTCTTGAATCATTTCAGACCCTTCTTTTAAAAAAAAAAAAACTTGTCATGGACTGTGTTCTCCTTGTCCTTCATTTTTTTGTTGTCTTTGTCCTATCAGTATTTCTCCTATTTTAAAAAAAGTTTTCATTGTCCCGAGGTCTTCCCCCCTTTGTTGGCTCCAACAGGCCTATTAAGAAAGTGAACCCCCTCACACTCAAAATACCTCTACTGTTTGGATGAGGGGCACCAGACAAAAACCTGACAGTTTTGCTGAAATTTTATTAAAGGGGCTATGAAAAATCGCCAATCCTGTTTTAAATCTGTCTGTGGAAGAAATCACTACATGCTGTCAACAGCATCTCTAAAGAAACAGCAACCTGTGTGTTTACACTTCCCATATTTAAGACACCATTCAAACAGCAGATACTAATGGAGGCAATTCTTCATTAGGATGATCCAGCATCTCAGGATACATAATCTGCACAACTGGCACCTCTCCTCAATGTTGAGCATAGGCCTTCAACAGTGAGATCTACATCTTCACTGACATCAGTGTCTTCCTCTACGGCTAAAAAGAGGAAGAAACCTTTTGATTCTTAGGCCAGCAAACCAAGGTCCCCTCTAAGCCATCATCTGTGCGCAACTCTGCCTTCCTCCACACAGGGAGATTTCTTCCTCCTTCATGCAGCAATCTTGTTTAACTTCTTTGGTTCTGTTCATGTCAACCCTGTGTGAGTATGTGTGGAGTCGCGAGAGAGAGAGAGAGAGAGAGGCAGAAGCAGAGCTCAGCCCAGCAGTTCTCAAAATTAGAGGGTATGTTGCAGCAAACCCAAAATGACAAAACTGAAGATTCCTTAGTACTGAGACTTCACTGGCTTTCAGCCACTTACCAGATTGCAGCCACCTCACTCAGCAAGCTGTAGAGAAACGGTCCACTTTGTGGAAGCCTTGCTAATCTGGTGAAATAGCTCAAGGCCAATCCAGTTTCCACTAGTCTTTATCGGGAACAGCATTTACAGTTTGGGAGAGGCATTCTCCATCCCTGAAGCATCAGCAAAAGCTCCATCACTCCCAATCCATGATGGAAACAGTGATCTCACACAAATTGTATTCCACCTTGATCAATCTCCAGATCACTGGTGCTGGAGAGAGACCTGACATGGAATCAATGCCAACTGCAATGTAACTCATATGGTTTAGAAGTCATTAACATCAAAACGAGTCAAGAGGCAGAAGACCCATTCAGACAAAAGGTCATCCCAATCAGATTTGAGGGCTCCTCCACCAATTCTGAGGAAACCTAAGGACACTACTTCTGCACTGAGACAGAAACAAAGGCCTATGTAAACATTGAAGCCTTTGGAACCAGCAACTGAACACCATCTTTCATGCCTTCCTCAGAATCATCAGGAATGGTTCAACACTGAAGCCAAAGACCCCATGAGCTAATTTTCCTTCCAGATGATCTTATCATTTTAAAAGGTAAAAATATGCAGTGCTCCCTTGATATCGAGAGATCATTGAAATTGAAACCAACCTCAAACCCAGCAACTAAATACTCTAAAGATGCTTCAAAGTGTTCTACCATGGAACACTGAACGAAAGAGACTCTTACCAGGCCTGCTCCATGAAAATGAGGTCCTTTTTACTCGTGGGTAAAAAAACTTAATAAAAAACTGACACTAGGTTGCTTGCAGGTGCAATTAATTGAAGATTTTTTTAACCCAATGAACAGAGATGTTAAGATTATCTTTTGTTTGTTTGGAAAGGATGAAATATTTTCAAGTAGAAATCAGAACAGCAACTTTCCATGAAAACAATAACATTCATAAAAATCAAACCAGTTATTACATACATTTTCCTGCACAAAGCAGCCTGATTCCTTCCTCACTAAAGCCATTTGAATAGATACAACAAAATAGAAATAATTTCAATAAATAACTATAAATACAAGTTGTTCTGATTTACACTTTTAATTTCATTGTTGTTTTATGTCAGGAATTCATTGATTTTCCTTTGGTTTCTTTTATAATGTTTCATTTCATGGTTCTTATTCTCTGTTTATGTGCTGCAGTTTAAATAAATCTTCAAATCAATTGCACTGGTGCATAGCCTCAGATAATCTCTAGTTTCACTTTTTGCCCACTGAGGTAAATAAATACCTCATTTTCACTCAATCTTCATTGAGTGCAAAGAGGCACCACAAGCCATCTTCCATTCCTGAGGGAAAGGAATAACAGGAAATTAGCGGTACCTTGGTTTGCAAGCCTCCAAATCCAATGACTCATCAGATGCCGCCACCCCCCCTTCTCTTCTGACTACTCCGAAATCAGAGACACATATCCACCCTCCCCATCTGAAGACTTTCAGTCTTACTCCAGTCTCATATATCAGGTGGCAAGATCAAAGAGATTCACAACATAATTTCTAGTAACAGGGAGGGCTGCAAGATTTAATTGGTAGGAGGATATATTCAGCCACAGCATTGGGAATAAGAGTGGGGAATTATCAGGATGCAATGGGAGAGTACCACAGATTTCTGTGGGACAACATTCAGTCCATTTGGACAGCCTGTGTGAGGATATGTACTTTAGCTGTGACTTTTCAACAGGAGGCCCTGACACTTGCCACACAGGAGATGCATGCAACAAGACATGCCACAGTCTGCATGACTAATGACATGTCTGCAGCAGTACACTCTGTAAATGTGCTCAGCTACACTCTGGTGGTCTTTCGGAGGACTCCAGATCACCCACATATGATCTACCATTTGATAGGGGCGGGGGGGGGGGTTAACAGAAAGACTGACAATATAATAGATAACCTGCATAAGAAGAGGAAAACAATAAAAGGTATGGGGTTGTATTCACAGTACCAACAACATTAGTTTCACTCTCACTGAAAATGTCCGTAACACTGCCAGTTTCCCAAACTTCGCTCTGAAAGACAAAACAAACAAACAAAAAACCCATCCATCCTCCCCTCAGTCTGTCACTCCAGATTGTGTAATTGGACAATGGCAGACTGAGAAATGTGAAGATTCACCACAAGATAAGCAGAGCATACACAATGCAGAGGATCAGTCTAACAGACCTTTTAGGCTCTGGGATGTTCTAAGGGAGTTTTGTGCAGGCTCAGAAAGAACCCATAGGTGTGAATTCACAGATGAACACTCAAAGAACTACAGTTACAGTTAAGCAACCCCCCTTCCACCCTGTCCCCCTGGATTTCTTTTACTGATGAAACATAATAGGCCCTGTTGCTAAATACAGATGATAGTTTTCCATTCCTGGCAATATAGAAGCTAATTTTGGAAACTGGCATTTAATGCAAAGTAGCCATATTCGTTCTAGAGAAGCTAGTATAGGCAAAGCCAATGTAGATGCTCATTAGTTTCCCCTTATTTTTCTTGAAAATTCAACTATAGAATTGCAAACCCTTGATGGAAGCTTGAAAGACTAACTAGATGCTAACTTTTATTTCAGATGTGTTTGAAGAGCTGACTCAACAAGTACAAGAAAAAGACTCATTGGCTTCACAACTTAATGTCCGTCATATTGCTATAGAGCAGTTGCTAAAGAACTGTTCCAAATTGCCATGTCTACAGATGGGACGAGCAGCAATGAAATCTAACACATCCATATAGGTGCAGCAATGCTTGTGTTTCTCACCTTCCTTAATTTCATTCTGATGCATTTGGAAAATTCTAAACCTGTATCAGTTAGAAGGTACAAAGGATGTTACATGCATTATTTCATTTTAAACAGTTAAAAGTGTTTGGGGACCAGTTTCGGCTCTGAAAGTCACCTAGTTTCCTATTATTAACTGTGTTCTTGTAGTGACCAGTGAGAAATATTCCAGTGTTCACTATTTCAGACTGCCTGTAAATAACATTGGAGATTAACAAGGGAAATGTTTTTAGGTATCAAGAATTGGTGGGGTAAGCAGTATTCATGAAACCTACATTTTTTTATTTATTGCAAGCAATATTTTATTACTGAAATTTTATAAAAGAAATGACTATTTTAGGTACTTTTCAGCATCTCTTTATAAAGTTTTGAATGACAGTAAGTAACATTTTTGCCTTGTGTAAGTATTGTTTACTCTTTTTCAGGTCATTGTACTTAACTTTCATGATGAGAATTGTTTAAAAATCTTGTTTTCCAAAGACACAGACTCAGTGGCTGTAATGCATTACTTCTAGTTTTCAGCAGTGTGGAATTTTTTTGGCATGGATTGTATCTTATCAGAAGAAATTCAAGCACAGCACCTCATTTTGGAATGACAGTTCATGTTATGTTAACATATGCAGAGCTGGAGTTCAGTTTTGTACGTGAATTTCTAAATCTTAATAGAAGTACATGACTTCAAAGAAATAAACCTATAATACCTCATGAAACTGGATCTTCATCTTCTTTTATAGGACTTGTAACAAAACGCCTCTCACACGAAGGTGTTTATGCAAAGAAGAAAAGTGAGATAAAAGTTTTGTCTACACAGAACTATGGAGTGTGAGAGCTTGGAATTGTTGCTTTTTAAAGCAATGCATTAGTCATTAATTTTCACTAGTAATTTTCATGACTAAAAAGTAAATTGATGGGTTGTGAGACCAGAAGTGAGAGAGAGAGACCCCTCTCACGAGACTGCCTTCCACCAACCGCTGAGAAAGAAAGTCAAACCCCGCCAGTTCCCCACCCAGAAAGACAAGACCACCTGGACCAGACCCGGGGAACCTAGAGAAGAGTTTAAACGAAATAATGGTTAAAGAGACTGGGACTCTCTTGGTGGACGCAGGAGAAAAAGGGCAGGAAGTAGTGGAGGCGGGGTTCCGAGATTATAAAAAGAGAAGGGGAGTTACTGGATAATTGGGAATGGATTTTGATAGAAGACCCTTGGACTGGGCAAGTGGAAAAGCTAAGGGTTGCAAAGGAAGAAGCGGATGCACAGAGGAGAACTCACTCCCAAGCCATCTTACTGGGGTGAGAAAGAGACAAAGGAGTGGCGGAAGAAGTTAAGGGAAGAGAAGGAGAAGGTTGAGAGGGAGCAGAGAGGATGGAAAGGAGGATGTGGGAGATGCATCAGAGGGGATTTGAGAGACCCCCTGGCAGATACCCGGGAGTGTGACTGGGTGGACTTTTGAGAAGAGGGCACCACCCCCCTATTGGAAGGAGAGAAAGGATTATTATTGAATGCGGACAACCCGCCTGAGTGGCCCGGCCCTTGGAATGTTCAGAGCGGAAACCCTTTTATGTTTGAAGATTGGAAACCCCCGGTTGACTGGTTGTTTGACTGGGAGAAAACTTGGAACACATTCGTTGATACTGGACTGTTATTAAATAATCCAATAAATGTTACCCCATTGCAAAACATAAGCCTGGTGATTTATTTGGAGCAAAAGTGGAGCCATACATAGAACCCTCACATGGGTTTCATTAATATCCTTGTTTTTTATTTTTTTAAAAACGCCCTAAATCTTCTGAAATATGTCTGCATAATGCTCCCAATCCCTTATCAATCTCATTTTTGTAAAATCATCAGTGCCCTATGTTACTCAAGAAAAAAGGAAAAATAAAGTTTGTAAAATATTTACAAACTTCTCTGATGGCTAAATTCTGCACAAGGCATGGTTCCTTTTTTCAGCAGTTCCTTCTCAACACTCAAGCCTTACATAATAACCTCATTTATTCTCTTTCTTTATGCACTCCCCAACAATTATTTTAATTGTTTGAATAAAAACTACTTAGCAATTTACACTGCTTATACTTGAGTTGTAGTTGAAACAAACCACTGAAGCTTTTTGTGTTAATTTCAAGAATAGATCATGCTGTGGCTTTCTTAATGTAATCCAAAATTTCACAATATTGACTACTTTGTCATTTTAAGTAACCTTACCACATAAAATTATCAAAGCTTTTTGAGAAATCTTGTATTTAGTGCATATTTTAAATTCATTTCAATTGAACTGTTTGCTTTATGCTCGATTTCGAAATCATCTGCCATCTTTCTAACTCTCTTCTGGACACAGTGCAAACTGTCAATACATTATCTTTTATGTAATGTATTTATTTAGCTTCTGTATTGCTACATAGTTCATGGCACTGGGCAGTTTAAAATTGAAATTTCAATCAAATAAAATACAGTATACTATAAACATACAATTTATAAATATAGTAATTAATCCTCTGCCACAAACAATCCAACATTAAATTAAAAAGCTTAAAATCTCAGGTCAATATTAATAAAAAAGCTGCTTTTAAAAGTATAACTTTTATCTGCTTTTTAAAGACATCATAGCTGTTCTCCAGTGTAAAAGAAGGAAAAACAGATTCTGGAAAACAGAGTGTTGGTACTTATTTGCACATTCCAGTGAAAGCTTGTCCAGTACCATTGCTGTTCTCAAGGAATAACTGCTTATAATGGTTGGAGCGTCTTTTGTTTTGAAAACAAGGATGGGGAAATGACAGGAAGTGGAAAAAGCCAACTAGATGTGTGAATACATCTTTAAATCCTTAAAACACATTTGTGGTTCATTTATCTGCTGAAAGCTCAGTGAATTCAATTCTCTGTTGTGCCTCCCTGAAGAGCCAGCCTATGTGGCTTTTAATCCCAACATGTGCCCAGAGGAAAGCACTGATAAACCTCTGCTGAGTGCTTGTATACCTAGAAAACATTTAAAATCATCACCAAAATCAACATGACAGCATAATTTATTTTTTCATGAATCACTGAGTCAGATCCAGGGCTTGATAAGGTTTTTATACAAAAGCCAGTGGTGACTGGGCATCGTGGCCCACAGTTATAGATCCTTTACGAGCATCCTTTACCATTTTAAAATTCACTCATTTGATGGACAGTCACAAGAATGGCAAAAAAAGGTATGTGTTCAGGAATTTGGCATTTCAGCAGTTTATTTTTATTTGAACAACTAGACTGATATCAACAGCAAGAGTAAAGGAAATGTTAAAGTTACTGCATGTCGCAGCAAATCTGAAATATTGTACAATGTGGAAAAATCCCATGCATTTGCTATCAATACTAAAAACTCAAATGTTGCCCTCTAGTGCTCAAATGCTGTAACTGCTCCTGGAAACTTTCTGTGAAACTTTTCTCACTACAGTATTTTATTTCTAAGAACCACAAAATGCTATGCATTACACAGACAATTCTGCAATGTGAAAAGCCAGTAATAATAACAATAATAATAATAACAATAACAACAACAACAACAACAACAACAACAATAATAATAATAATAATAATAATAATAATAATAATAGACCAGACATATGCACACACATAAAATTCCCCAAATACTCCCCACCCACTAAAAGTCCCCCACTAAAAATACAGACATCTACACCGCAGGCCAAGTAACACAGTCCAACTAATTATTCACTACTGGTGGTCTTTAAGCTCATTATTAATTGCAATTATAGCTCTGGGATAAAAACTATTCAGAAAACGTGTGGTCCGAGTCTTAATTGTTCTATATCTTCTGCCAGACGGTAACAGTTCAAAAAAGTTATAAGCAGGATGGGAAGAGTCTCTCAGGATGCTGTGTGACTTCCTCAGACAGCGGGATGTGAAGATGTCATCCAGGGTTGGTAGCTGGAGCCCGATGATATTCTGGGCAATTTTAATGTTTCTCTGAAGAGCTTTTTTGTCCGCTACAGAGCTACTCCCAAACCATGTCAGAATGCCATAGGTTAGGACACTCTCAATGGTGCTACGACAGTATGACATAAGTAAATGCTGAGATAAATTTAACTTCCCGAGTATTCTCAGGAAATACAGCCTCTTCTGTGCCTTCTTCATTAGCATGTTGGCATTTATAGTCCATGAGAGGTCCTCTGAGATGTAAGTACCCAGAAATTTAAAACTACCAACTCTCTCCACTTCCTCACCGTTTATGTACAGTGGTAAATGTACATTTCTCTTCCTCCTAAAATCAGTGTACCCTGATTCTAGCATGATTGTTGCTTTTAAGGCCAGCCCGTGTCCTCTTCCCCCATGCAAAAGTTCATGCAATTTTTTTGAGCTACAAGATGCTGAGCAGCAGAGTGTGTGACCAACCAAGGCAATTTCAGTGTTAGAAACAGGTCTAAACATTGATTGAAAATCAGTTCTGTCTAAGAAAGCCTTCATCTAGTCCACTCCCCTTCCCCAAGAGAAAAACATTTCCTGCTTGCCCATAATCATTATGTCCTTTTCAATCCAGTGGAAGTGCCTTGAGCAGTAGCTGCACACTTTTAAGGAGGCTGTGGCTTTTGCTTCCTGAACCCGGCTCCTTAACAGATGCAATTAGTGACAAAAGATAAGGGGCTTTCTGTGCATTCGCTGGCTGTCTCATCTCCTGAGATAACAGAAAGAAAGCAGTTTATAGAAGACATTAGAATTATTATACAGTAATCTGATTCAAAAACAACAGACAAACAACAAATAGTTGTCAGTGAAACTATACTATGTCGCAACATATTATACACAGCTTGGGGTGAGTTTTAATTTATTATTTCAAGTGGCCTTAGTAGCTGATACTAATGTATTTTGCCAAACCTGACCTCATTCCATCCTAACAATTTGGAGGCCTAATTCCTCCTGTCTTTTTTCATCTCTCCTTAGCCAGTCTTAGAAGAAGGTTGTCTCACCTTGGCAAAACAATAATGATACAAAGGAAGGAAGGAAAGAAAGAAAGGCCTTATTGTGATATATGTCTTTTTGGGTTTTGGCTGGTTTTCTACTTTCATTTTAAAAAGCAATGGCTGTGTTCAAATGCTGAAGAATCATACTCATGTACATGATTCTGCACTAGGCAAAACAAATGTAAGCAAGATAAGGACCTCCACCTATAACCTCTGCATGCAGAAAAATTGGGGAGCAGTGTGCTTGCTTTGATCCTCCTCCTCCTGGCAAGTAGGACTGCCAGATCAGGAGTCTTGTATTCCCTAAGATCTCAGTGCCAAAACCTGAGACCATGGGACAAGTCTCTGTGTTATCAAAAGAGGTGGGCCAGGCAAGCGTTGGGAAGGAAACTAACTCAACATGCACATGCACACTTGAGTGTTGAGTGAGCCCTGGCACTAACTAGGAAAAGCTGAAGATCAGTGGGATTAAAACTACCTCAGGCCCAAACATGCTTGCTTCTCACCCCAAGATCTATCTCCTTGACCAGGAGAACATAGTCATTCCCTGTGCTAGCAAGCAGAGACCTGGCAACCCTACCTGCAGTAGAGAGCCTTCACAAGTTGTGGAGAATCGGGGAGACAAATCCTGGGTTCTTCAGATTCAGCAGACGTAGAGAACACAGTGGGGCTGGGGTGGTAGTGGAGATGCTGCTGCATCCCTGTTTTGTGTGCTATTTGTTATGGTTGAAGGATCAAGCAAGCGTTATATAAAAGGAAT